GTATAGTTGATATATTCCATTTTCTTTTTAATTATTATACTAATCCTTTAAAAAAGTTTGTTTCAGAAAGCAGCTATTATATATTTCAAGAAATTGTAAGATTTGTGTCATTGGTTAATAAACAATTGTATTTTATAAAATTTTACTAATTATTCATAGTTTAATTTGTTTCAGGAACTATTGTGAAATCATTCAACGAAAAATATATATTTGATATGGTATCTTTTCTTTCTTTTTCTTCGAGTAGTAATATAATATCTTATAGTAATATTTTTCTATAAGAGGGGCCCCTCAATATATTTTAGATTAGGATACGTAGATAATATATAGATAGTATACTTCCAAAAGAGTAGAGAAATATATATTTAGATTTTGTAGGAAATCATGTAAATCAATTATTAATTCAATTAAATCAATTATATTTTATAAATTTTTTATTAAAATCTTTATGATCTTATTTGTTTCAGAAACTAGCGTGGATATCAACGTTCTTACCAATAAAGAATATTTGTATTTGATATAATCCTCTTGATTTTATTAAGATTTTTTTGAATAAAAATAAATTCCCTAAATTTTTATATGTGAAAATACTTTTAGACTTATATTAGGTAGGGATTAAAAATAAATAGCTAATGTAGGTAGGAATTATAAAAAATAGTAGATTTGGACTAAATGAAATGAAACTTTTGAATTAATATTCTTTAAGGATCACATTTTATATTTACAATAGTACATTTACAATTAGAATATTTTTAAGTTTTATTTTAAGATTTATGAAATATTTATGAAATATTTGTAAATTTATGGTATACTAATAAGTTTATTTATATAAGTAGATGGCTTGTAGAACTATAGAAATATTGCTTAAAATAGAATATATTTGCATGTGCATGTACAATTGTAATAGTAGTAATAATAGTTGATACTGAAATGATAATGGTAAATAAAATGAATATAATTCTGTATGGAATACATTTAATTTTTTTAAATTCTATTTTTAATTTTGTAACTATATATTTGCAATCTTGTAACTTTCAATATTTTATATTTCTTTGATAATAAGTATATAAAATATTGACATATGTACATATTTGTGATGTATCTATATTTCATCTAGAGTTATGTGTTATTATCAAAATATAAATTAATTTTTACTTTCAGGTTTAGCTTGTCGCGTCGGTTTTCCTTAGAATT